GGTTAATCCATGTCCTTCTTTACACCATTATTTCCTCTGCTAAGAAGAAAATGCCTGTCCTGTGGGTTTTATATTTCCCCCTGAAACTTCTGTCTGAGAGATACCTCTGTTTTGTTCTACCCTGCAAGAAAAAGAAAAATAGTTAGGGTTTTGCCAGATACCAGCTAAGACTTTTGGACCAGTTCTGCTCTTCTTGCACCTGTTTCTGTTGGTTGTGTCTCTGTTGCTGGAATGGGGAAGTGTGGTCCTGGGAGTTCTCCCTACAGTATGCCTGCTCCACGGACCTATGCAACAGAGTCCTTCCAGGGATGATGGTGTGCAGCCCCTTGCAGGCCTGCTGGCACCAGTGATCAAGTTCTGATTCATTCTCCTTTTCAACTTCTTTCACAGGGGGAGAGGGTAGCAGAACTGATCCTTCATCACGCCCGTGCTAACCAGTGCCAGGATATTGAGCGATTCAAAGCTGAGATGGCAGAACTAGTGACCAGGGTCCGGGGGAACACCATTGCCCTTGGAAAGGCAAGTGCACAAGCAATGTCCCACTCTCACTTACCTGTAATTCAGTGCAACCTGGCTTTCAAACTGATCCATGTGGAAAGGCCAGGCCTGATCTCATCAGCACCACCAACCAGCACTGGTTGCTTTTAGTCTCTCAGGTATACCAAAAGTCCATAAAACTCTTTGTTTCCTTCAGCTAAAAAGCTATGTCTTTGTAGGGTCAGTATGGTATTGGTTTTTGAGTAGTCAGGGTTTTTTGGGTTATGTTTTGTTGTTTTCGTTTTTTTAATCTGTATCATCTACAGCTCTCTGTGAGGAGTTGCTGAGCCTGATGTTACAGCTTGCATTTTGTTAGCTAAGGCCTGGCTATGCACTGCAGAGAGTGTAGCATGGTGGTACGGAGCAGATAAGTGCATGTTGTGTACTGCTGAGAGGTCAGACATCCTCAGCCTTCCTGGGCTGGCAAGTGAGCAGAACCATGGATCACAGCTGAACTTACTCTGTGTGGAGTGAAGTGGAATCATACCTTGATGTTTGCTGTTGTCAGCCCGATAAATCTTGTCCCACTACCAGAACCAAATGCTAACAGAGGAATCCTCCCTGTCACTCAAGTTGCTTAGTCTTCTTGACCACAGTTTTTTTATCAGTTGTTAACTTCTCCTTTTGTATTCCAGCTTCAAGTGGCAGATCTCCTCTCAAATGTGTTTAAACTATTGATGACCCATAAGGTGAGCTCCTGTCACTGGCTGCCTTCAATAGCTGGAAGTTAATCTGGGGAGGGAGAACTACTGGGAACATGAAGGGCTGACAAGGAGAGGAACTGTGACTTCTGAAACAAGCTGCTAGGAGGGGTACTGCAGGAATG